CCCACACACACACACACACACACACACACACACACACACACACACACACACACACACACACACACAAAGCCAGGTATGGTGGCAGGCATACACTTGCAATCCCAGCTAGTAGTCGGAGAAGGGGGTGAGATCCACAGAGCTAACCTGCCAACTACATGTATATTCAATGGTGACTCCAGGTTCAGGAAAAGACAGTGTCTCAAAACTCAATGGTTGAGGAATGCTGGGAAAGGCATCAGGCATTGACTTCCGACTGCACAAACATAAGTACACGCCACCCCCCAACACACACACACACATGCACACATACTGCCCCACAAAATCTCTGTACTCTTTTATTTAGAGAAACTCAGCATTAGTTATTTTCTCTTTTCTATATGCATACCTCAGATTCTACGAGAAACCAGAATTATGTTTGGTTACTTCTTAAGAGCACACAAGGGAATGAGATGGGGGTTAGTGGGGGGCAGAGGAGCGGATGGAGAGGGAACTGGGACTGACATGTAAAACAAGCTTGTTTCTAATTTAAATTTTAAAAGGGGGGGGAAATAGCACACAATTGGAGGTCTGAGTATTTTGCTCAGTGGTTAAGCACTTGCTTAGTATATACAAGGCCCTGGGTTTGACCTCTGATACAGAAACAACACAATAATAAGCAGCCAAAGTATGTTCAAAGTTTTTTTTTAAGTGTGTGTGTGTGTGTGTGTGTGTGTGTGTGTGTGTGTGTGTGTGTGTGTGTGTGTACACATGAACACATGCACACAGAGTGCAAATGCCATGCCTTTAATCCCAGCACTGGGAGGCAGAGGCAGAGGCAGAGGCAGAAGGATCTCTGTGAGTTCCAGGCTAGCCTGGTCTACAAAGTGAGTTCCAGGCCAGCCAGGGCTAAACAGTGAAACCCTGTCTCAAAAAGACCAAAAGAAAAAAAGAAAAGAAAAAAAAGAGTGCAGGTGCCCAAGTAAGCCAGAGCCGTCAGACCCCTTGGAGGTAGAGTTACAGGTGGTTGTGAGCTGCCAATGTGGGTGCTGGGAACTAAACCCAGGTCCTCTGCAAGAGCAACAAGCGCTCTCGAATACTGGGTCATCTCTCCAGCCCAATACATTATATATTATACTATTATTAATATATAATAACAATATGTATTATTATATATAATATATATATTAAATAAACAGAGAGCCATGGCTGGACGAGACCAAGAGATCAAGTATTCTACCATTTATTAGCATGCGAAAACTGCCAACCAGAGACTGTCATCCAGCACTGGGCTTTGCTAAATTCTGATGGCCCATTCCTAAGCTCTGTGGCAGAGTGTGGTGTCATAGCACTCTGAGGCCACTGTTTGTGTTGAAGCCAGCACTTGACTTGTTATATATGACCTTGGACAAGTTTACCCTTGCTGAGCTTCAATTTCTGGCCTGTGAAACATGCAACAGCAGTTTCTCCAGTTATTTTTGTTATGAGGATTGATATGGTACCATGTACAATGCTTGTACATGGTCTGTGTTATGGAAGAGCTAGCTGTCTATGCTTGCACATGGTCTGTGTTATGGAAGAGCTAGCTGCCTATGCTTGCACATGGTCTGTGTTATGGAAGAGCTACAACGCAGTTTCCCTGAAGTTAGTGTGGTGGCTTGAATGAAAAAGGCCTTCATAGGTCCATGTGTTTGAACCCAATGGTTGGAATCATTTGGGAAAGATTAGGAGGTGTGGCCTTGTTGGAGAAGGTATAACACCAGGATAGGCTGAGGTTTCAAAAGTTCATGACAGGCCCAGTGTCTTGCGTATAGACCAGATGTGAGCTATCAGCTACTGCTCCAGCACCCACCATACCTGTTGCCATGCTCCTCATCATGATGGTCATGGACTAATAACCCTCTGAAACTACAAACAAGGCCCCAGTTAAATGCTTTCTTTTACAGATTGCCTTGGTTGTAGTGTCTCTTCCCAGCAATAAGAAAGCAACTAAAACAGGTGGGAATTTTTTCTATTTTACTGAATACATTAAAAACACTCAATCTTAAATAAAATAAGAAAAATAGTAGGGTTCTCAGAAGCATCTTTTTTTGTTTTAACTATAAATTAGACCAAAATATAATACTTAATGAGGAATACATCCTGACCAGGTTCTTCTCCCTTATTTACAGACAGATCACAAACTTCAAGACTTTCTCCTTCAGAAACTCTTATGTAGGAGAAGGGGAGAAGGACTTAGAACTTCAGTCACATGTCACTAGACAGGAATGAAAAGAAGTCCCTAGAGTACTTAGAAGCTAGTATTTTTTTTTCCCCCTGAGACATAGTTAATCTGTGTAACAGTCCTGACTGTCCTAGAACTTGCTCTGTAGACCAGGCTGGCCTGAAACTCACAGAGATCCATCTGCCTCTGCCTCTGCCTCTGCCTCTGCCTCCCGAGTGCTGAGATTAAAGGCGTGTGCCACCAGCACCAGGCTAGAAACTAGTACAATATTTTCTTATTTAAACACATTTACATAAATTTGCTACTACCTAAGTATCAATGGTGGGAAATTTGCCAAATTAATGAAATACAAAGACACTAAAACATGAGAAAATTCCCATTTTTCAGAATATCTACTCAACATATTAATGGAAACTGGAAGCAGATCACCTTTCTCAAAACCGTTTGCTTTGAAAGTAAAAAATGAAAACAGAATGAACCAGTTACTAAACTGTTGCTATATGGCATTAAATTTTCTTAAGTCTAATGATTAATACGGATCTAAATGTATAATCAATGTCAAGAACTGACATACTCAAATTTTTACCAACTATTTTAGGTGATTTTAGTTTCTTGAATGCACTATGTAGTTGAGGATAGCCTTGAATTCCTGACCCTCCTTGCCTCTAAGTGCCACATGCTGGGATTACAGATACACATCTCTATGCCTGGCTTAATTATTTGAAATAAGTGGTGGAAAATGTTTTAACAAAGGATTCATGTTTGCATGATATGATCAATATAATTATCTAATTACCTGTCTAATTAACTAAAATATGAAGCAATATAGTTCTTTGAAAGAGCAGCATGATACCTAGCATGGTTTTCCAGAACTCGAAGAGGAGAGGAGGCAAATCGGAGATCCCACATCTGGATCACTGGTAACCGGTCATCCTCAGAGGCCAGGACCATCTGCGTAGCCACATCAGGGTGCCACGCCAGCCCAGAGCAGTGCATCTGCAGACAGGTAAGGCCCACATCTTAGTAACCAGGTTACTCTAAGAAGAGCAGAATTAAAGTTTGAGGTCTATGTCACTACTGAAATGAACAGGAAAAAGTATCCACTCAGACTACTTCCAAACCTTTTGAATATTATGAGACAAGTCTTAAGCAAGTATAGCCTTTGGGTGGTTTCTATTCATCTACTTGATGCATATAAAGCAATTCAGGTCAAAATAATTCTATTACCTAAAATGAATTTCATTGTTAATACTGTAACTCAGAGCAGAGTTTTATACTAACTTAAAATATAACACTTTCAAAAATGAAAATAAAAATTCTCAATTAAAAACTAAAAAGCCTTCTATCTTTCCTCAAAAAAACAAAGAAAATCAAACCTAATATCTTAAGCAACAACTACCATCCAACGTTTCATGGGACATGTATTGGGAATGATCCAGAAGTTTTAGTTTCTAACAAATATTCTACATAGTGACTAAAATTATTTTTGCATGCTTTCTTCCACTAAAACTTGTATTTTAAAATTTCCGGTCCACTTAAAACGATAGTAATCTGGAGGAAGGCTCTTTTCAACAGTTCTGTGATGTTTAAAATGATCTACACATTCTGACTTAGGCACTCTTGTTTTAGACAGTCTTTAACCAAGGTGGGAAAAATGGCTGAGCACATAAAGGCACTTGCTGCCAAACCTGACAGAACTAACTTTAATCTCTGGGAGAAACCCACATGGTAGAAGGCTAGAGCCAAATTCTGCAAGTTGTCTGTGAATCAGCACAAAAGTGCACAATGGAGAGTAAATGCTCATACACTCACAAAAAAAAAAAAAAAAAAAAACCTATAAATGTAATAAAAAGTATCTTTAAAGTTTTAATAGGGAAGGGAGAAAGGGAGGGAGGGAGGGAAGAAACAAGGAAGGAAATCAGGCCACCAAGATGTCTCACAGGACAAAGGTGCCTGCCACTAAGTCTGCCTCAACCTGAGTTTGATCTGTGGGACCCACCTGATGGAAAGTTGTCCTCTGAATTCAACATGTGCTTCATGGCACACATGCACCCACACACACACACACACAAATTACTAAATAAAGTGATTAGAAAATAAAAAGCGGGCTGGAGAGATGGCTCAGCGGTTAAGAGCACCGACTGTTCTTCCAGAGGTCCTGAGTTCAATTCCCAGCAACCACATGGTGGCTCACAACCATCCGTTATGAGATCTGGTGCCCTCTTCTGGTGTGCACATGTAACATGGAAGCAGAATGTTGTATGCATAATAAATAAATAAAATCTTTAAAAAATATATTAAAAAAAAAAAGAAACAAAAGAAAAAGCATGCAGGGCATTGGTGGCGCACGCCTTTAATCCCAGCACTCGGGAGGCAGAGGCAGGGGGGTCGAGACCAGCCTGGTCTATAAGAGCTGGTTCCAGGACAGCCTCCAAAGCTACAGAGAAACCCTGTCTAAAAACTCCCCTCAAAAAAATTTTTAAAAATTAAACAAAACAAAACATATCCAACAGGGTTTATTGGGTATTTAATTATTATCATAAGGGGGAGGGAGCATTCTTCCCACTATTGACCATTGACCAACTGATGATAAAAAAAAAACAAAAAACAGGGTTTTAATTTTACAAAAATCTGATTTATTGAAGGAAGCCCCAGGGCACTTACAGCAAAAGTGCCCATGTTCATCACAAGTCAACCCAACACTTACCCTGTTACTGTGGTCACTGACTTTGATGATCGGCTCGTTTTTTCTAAGATCCCACACAGTTGCCCGGCCACTAGGACTGGCTGATGCTAAAATATGCTGAACTTGTCTGTTCCACGCAATGCAGCTGATGTCTTCGGGTGGCTATTGAGGAACAAGCCATTAGAAACCATTTCCATGCTGGTTAGTCTTGTCAAGTGGACATACTGGAGTACCTAGAGAGAGCCTCAACCGAGGAGCTGCCTGCATCAGCTGGCTCTGAGGGCGTGTCTGGATACTTTCTGATTGCTGGCTGATATGGGGGTGCCCAGCCCACTGTGGGAGGTAACATACCTGGGCAGGTGGGTCATGGTTATAGGAGGAAAGTAAGTGATCAAGCCAGGAGAAGCCATCCACTCAACCTTCCTAGACGACAGACTGTGATCAGACATGCAAGCGCCACAAGCCCTTCCTTCCCCAAGTTGGTTTTGGGCAGTTTGATCACAGCAACAGAAAGCAACTAGGACATTACTATTTTTTCTTTCCTTTTTTTTATAATTTATTTTTATTTTATTTGCATTGGTGTTTTTTGGGCATGTATGTTTGTGTGAGGGTGTCAGACTTGTAGTTACAGACAGTTGTGAGCTGCCATGTGGTTGCTGGGAATTGAACCTGGGTCCTCTGGAAGAGCAGTCAGTGCTCTTCACCACTGAGCCATCTCTCCAAGGCCCCAACATTACTATTTTCAAATTTAATTATAAAGCCAGGTGTGGTGGCACACACCTTTAATTCCAGTACTCTGGAGCCAGGCTAATTTCTTAGTTCGAGGCCAGCCTGAGTCTATACACTGAGTTCTCAAAAGAACTAAAAATTAAATTTAATCATAAATCCAGCTTCTTTATTTCCTTCTTTCATTTCTTTTTTTAAGACAAACAGAGTCTCTGCTCCCCCAGTGTTGGGGTTAAAGGTGTATACCATCATGCCTGCCTCTCCTTTAGCTTTTTAAAAAAATCTATTACTTAAAATTAGATCCATCTATTCCACAAATTTCCTTTCTATTCATACAATCATAATATGTACCATATTGTTTAAAACACAGATCTACATAGCTTCAAATACTTTATATTGTCTAATATTGTCCCATCAAACAGGCATTTGTTGAGTTCTTGCTATAAACCAAGCCGTTTCTTTATTTGCAGATGTTGCAAGATAGACATAAACTACAAAAATGATGGCTGGTGAATGTGACCTATAATTAGGCAGAACAAAAATGGCAGGCTGGACTTCCAGGAAAAAAATGCCTTTATAAGTAGTAGACGATACGCTATTATTAAGCCACTTTTCAAGACTTCAAAATGGTAGAAGCAGTTACAACAGCCAATAAAACTGGGAATCCACACAATGAGATACCTTGTAGAAAGGCTATATTTGATTTTTTGAGACAGGATCTCACTATATAGCTCTAGTTGGTCTGGAACTCACTGTATAGACCTGGTTGGCCTTGAACTCATAAAGACCTGCCTGCCTCTGCCTGCTGAGTGCTAGGGTTAAAGGCCTGTGTCACCACACCCAGCAACATTTTATTTTAGATAAAGTCTCATTCTATATTCCAAGCTGACTTCATACTGAAGGTAATCCTCCTGGCACCGCCTTACAAGAGAAACCTATTTATTAATACTTTACTATGCCACAGGAAATTAATGATATTGAATTACTGATTTGCTCTTAAAAAAACTTAAAGCCAACATGAATACATTTAAAAGATCAGCTTTTGGTTCCTTTGATTACACTGATCAACAATTAATATACCTGTGTTTTGGCTCCTGGTGTCATTGGAGTTGCAAAATTGTTTAGATCCCAAATGTAGATTTCAGATTCATTAGCACCAGAGGCCACCAAATTGGTCTGCAAATAGAAACAATAATCAAATAATAACTGAAAACTCAGAATAACTAAAAACTGAAATGTTGACTTTAATACATAGCTTTTCCATTGATTCAAAACAATCATGTGTGTGTTTTCCTAATTAATTCTTCATCAAAGTTAACTTTTTTACAGAAACAGTATAACTTTCCAAATGAAGTATGTCTACTGACAATGAAACTATTTTAAAGCAATACGTCACAAAAAAGAGCAGTCTGTCGTTAAAATGTTAAAGACAAGCACGTTGACCACATAGGGACTAGTGTTCGTGGTTCTGCATCTCTGGGAGAAAATATGACTATGGAACAAAAGCAGTCGCCAATTACTGCTCTCAGATACACCTACAGTTACTTCCTATAGCTGTTGCGTCTTTCTCAGGGAACCTCACAGCCCGCACCCAGAGCTAGTAAAGCCTGCCGCTGTTCATACACACACATCTAGTTCATGAGCTAAAGCCTGCCACTGTTTTCACATATGCCTAGCTCATGGGCACATGGTTTTGTTGGAGGGATCAGTATTTCTGGTTGATTTCTACGTCAAGCCCATTGGGCTAAAACAATGCTAAAACTGGTAAGAAGAACAAGAATAACTAACAGGCTTCACAAACTGACCTCACTGGTTACTTTTCATGCTCATAAACTTCTACCAACGGGTTCTATGAGCTGGACTAGCATAAGCTTTAGTTTCCAAACTCTGGGTCTCCTAACGTCTAAAGGTGTCCAGGCAGATGGCATGACATTTTAGATGTCTAATACAAGCAAGCCTATTGCTGAATGTCTTCGCCTTAGTTTTGCTCAGGCAGATTTTACTTGTTTATGCGTGTTTGGTTGGGTAAGTGAGCCAGCATGTGAAACGTGCATGTTCATGCATCTGTGTCCATGTGCATACAGAGGTCAGAGAACAACTCAGATGTCACCCTCAAAAACACTGTCCACCTCTCACTGGCATGGAACTCACCAAATGGACTAGACTAGCTGGCCAGCAAGCCCCAGGGGTCCTCCTGTCTCCACCTCCCCAGGACTGAGATCACAGGTGCATGCTGCCACCCCCAGCACTTCCACAGGGTCCTGGGGACTGAATGCAAGCACTTCACCAACTGAGCTATCTCCTCAGCCCCTTGCGCTTTTGTTGTTGCTGTTGTTTGAGACAGGGTCTCATGTGGTTAGGATAGCCTTGAACTTACCATGTAGCTGGGGCTAGCCTCAAACTCCTGATCCTTCTGCCTGCATCCCCCAAGTGCTGAGGTTACAGGCATGTGCCTCCATGTCTATGCCCAGCTCCTAATCTGTACTCTAAACTGTACAGGAGTAAGTCGGTACCTTTCATTCCTAATGATGAAGCCTAGTAGTTCTTTCTTCTTCTTTTTTTTTTTTTTTTTGTTTTTTGGTTTTTGTTTGTTTGTTTGTTTTTCTAGACAGGGTTTCTCTGTGTAGTCCTGGCTGTCCTGGAACTCGCACTGTAGTCCAGGCTGACCTCGAACTGAGAGATACACCTGCCTCTGCCTCCCAAGTGCTGGGATTAAAGGTGTGTGCCACCACCGCCCAGCTAGTAGTTATTTCAAAAGAACCATGAATGAATGTCAAATAAAAGCAAACCTGGAAAATGTTTACATCCAAGGCTCTCACAGGCCCAGTATGCTTGTCCTTCTGTGCAATCACGACTTCCTCGTCTCCAGCTATGATTTTAGAAGGATCATAAAGAATAATGTTTCCATTTTCTCCACCTGCAATCAGAACTCCAGAAATATTTCCTTTGGAATCCATCTTATGAGGTCCCCAGATCAACTTGTGGTACCTTAAGGAGAAAATAAATAGCTCATTCTTAGAATTAAGCAAGTGGCCAAATACTTTTAAATTATATTTTTATCTGATCTTTCCATGTAATACAAGCTGTAGTTTCTCTTTAACTCCCACTGACTGTATCCTCAGTAAAACAGAATCTTAATATTTACTTATGTATTTATATTTGATTTCCCGACCTCTAAACAGTTAAGACTCGGCAGAGTAATACAGTATAGAAAGTTTACTTGAACTTAAAAATTAGTTTATCTGTGCAATCCTGAACAAGTTACTTAATATTCCCAAAATTTATTTTGTTCACCTGCAAAACAGAGCTAATCAACTGCTTTCTTAGAAAACAAAACATTGGGCCAGATGGTGGTGGTGCATGCCTTTAATCCGAACACTCAGGAGGCAGAGGCAAGAGGATCTCTGTGAGCTCAAGGCCATCCCAATCTACACAGGACAGCCAAGACTACATAGAGAGAGATCCTGTCTTAAAAACAAAACAAATTATGTGTGTGTATAAAAATGTACATATACTCCCTTCTTTACTCATACCTATATTTTATAAGATAAAAAGAGACAGACAAAACTACTGCAGTGAGAAAGAAAGGAGTTAGGAGCCTTACAGCCATACTACACAGAACAACAATGGAACGTTCAATAGGACATATAAGTACTTTACTTCATAAAAATGCACTGATACAATTTTTCACACGTGCTTCATGTCACCGCCATTATTCCTTGAAGTTTCTAATAAACATAATTACAGACAGAGGTAGAGCACAGGACCGGGGTGTAGCTCATTTGGTAGAGTGCTCGCCCAGCCTGCACAAAGCCCTGGGTTCAGTCACAGGCACTGCACAAGCGAGCAGTGGTGGCACTTGCCCATAATCCTAACACACACAGTACAGAACAGAGGTTCAGGGCATTCTTGGCTACTAGTGACTTCCAGGTCAGCCTGGGCTACAGGAACCCTGCCTCAAAAAATAAAATGAATGCCATACCTGTGAGAGGAGGAGAAAGTAGCACAAGACTTCATGTCCAAGGATGGGTCTGAAAGGTCTAGTTCAAATATCTCCAGGGAAGCACTGGTACTAAACGTGGCATCCAACTGCTGAGCAGATGTTCCTACAGAAAATACAAGTATGGTAACTACATGTGCACAATAAAAGACTCGGAAAGTGGCATGAAAGAGAAAGAAGAAGCATGCTTTTAATTGTCTTGTTATGAACACATCTGCAGCTGAATCCACAGTATGTATGCCACTGAGCATGTTACTACAGCAGTAAGATTCTGGCACAGGGCTGGGAGATGACATCTCTGAGAGTGGGGAGTTACAGGTAAATTTTTAAAGGCTGCAGATAGCTTACAATCTCTCTGGAGAAACAGCCTCACGATATACTGTATCTGCTTTAAGCCCTGCACAAAGCTCTCTTTATTTAAAGAGTATTTCTGCTGAGTTTGTTCATAATTCACTGAAACTCTGTTATGTCATTTGCTATTCAACTTCCGGTGGGGTAAAGATAAACTAGATTCCTGTGCACTGGAAAAGATACTACATATGTCATACTTGACCAATGCTATGAAGTTCTGCATTGTACACAGGAAGGTCATCAAATTAAGTGATAAGGAGGATGGAGGTATCTTACTGGAGAATGAGAAGCTTTTCAGAGAAGATGAAGCTTGAACTAAAATGTAAGATACAAGTATGAAGAAGGCAGACATACAGGTAGGCCAACCATACTGTCTTCTTTTTTGAACTTACCTGTGGCTAAGTAAATGGGATGGCTCTGGGCAGGGCTCCATGCCTGCATAGCTGTACGATCTATTTCCTTTAACTTCATTCTGCTAAAATGAACATTTTACAGAGAGATATATTGAGCATATAACACAGAATATTAAAAATCACTAAAACATTAGTTAATACCCCAGTACTAATAACACAAATGTATTGTTTGTTGGAAATGTTCAATATTAGACATAAACTGTGAGACTATTTTGGGACAAATATTGTGTTGTTCTAATTCTTTACAGATCATACAGCTGAGTGTCCATTATCTGAAATGACAGGGACCAGACACGCTTCAGATTTCAGAGTTTTTCTGATACTGGAATATTTTCTAGATCTTACGGCAGAGCATGCCTAAGTATAAAATCTAAGATGCTTCAAAATATGAAACTCTTCAGATGCTTCAATGAGGGATGCTCAGTGTACAGTCCTTTAGCTAAAAAGTCAGCCTGTGAAATACCCTGCAAGAAAATATAAGTGACGGACATGGTGGTGCATGCCTTTAATCCCAGCACTGGGGAGGCACAGGCAGGCAGATCTCTGAGAGTTCGAGGCCAGCCCAGTCAATAAATCGAATTCTAGGAAAACCAGGACTATTACACAAACAAACCCTGTCTCAAAACTTAAAAAAATAAAAATACAAGCAATTAACCAAGGTTGTATGTGCCCCTTTCAAAATGACAGGATACAGCCTATCAGTAGGGAAATCAACATAATAAACGAGGTGGATCTCTCTGGGGTAGGACTACTCAATGATAAAAAATACTATCAGTAGGGAATAAACGAGGTGGATCTCTCTGGGGTAGGACTACTCAATGATAAAAAATGGTTTTAAAAACTTCTCACAGTCAGATATGGTATTGTATGCCTATAACCCCAGCACTCAGGCAGCTGAAGGAGAATCATACAGCGTTCAATGCCAGCACGGGCCACATAGTGAGTTCCAGGACAGCCTGTGTTACAGAGTGAGACCCCCAAAAAAACAAACAAATTCAGTAACTTCAGACCAGGTGAAATAACACACACCTGCAATTTCCACACATGGGAGACCTGTTGGGAGCCATACAGCTTGGCATGAACCTTTAGGCCAAATTTGGTAAGCCACAGGGTTATAGAACTGTCTTCTGATTATAAATGGTTTCTAGAAGCATGAGCACCCATAAGGAACAACATGACCCAGACGTCAATCCTTTGTTCCACCCACAGGCCCACTTACCTAGGTACCCCTCCCTCTCCCCCCCCCCCCTGAACTTTTTACCCTGCCAATATCCTCTTTCAATAGTTTTCTAACATCCTGCTTAAACTAACACCTGGCTCTTGGCCTTTTCTCCCCCTCCCCTATACTCCATCCTGCTTACTATATAAACTAGCCTGGAAAAAATAAAATTCGCCACTTGATCAGAATCCTGTCTTGTGGTCATTCTCTCGTGTCTCTTGTCCCCATTCCCCTCCCTGGACTTCTAGCTCTAGGTTGCTGTCCTGGGGGTCGGGACAACTACAGAGACCAAAGCAGGAGGACTGGAACTTTAAGTTAAACATGGATCATATAAGATCCTGTCTACAGTAATAACAGGGCTGGAGATCTAGCTCAGTGGTTAAGAGCACTGACTGTGCTCCTAGAGGGCACAGGTTCAATTCTCAGCCCCGACAAAGCAGCTCATGATCATCTGAAACAAGTTCCAGAGAATCCAACACCCTCTTCTGCCTTACACGGACACTAGGCGCACAATGGGCACACAGATGTAGATGCAGGCACAATATCCATACACAGAATAATAAATAGGTAAAGAAAAATAAGATAATACTAATTTTAAAATGACACAGGTGTACTATAGATTTAAGATTAAAGCAGAAATTTTTAGAAAATTTGCCACTTCAAGATTTAAAGCCATATGCCACTTGTTTACATATTCTCATTAAAGTCATATTTTTTCATGTCTGTTACCTTTCCATAAGTAAATTTTCAGGGAATGTTGTCTTATTGTAAGGTAACCATGATTTAATTATGTAGATTTAACTATGTAGTTCACTATCGTCACAAAACTCAAACAGTCATACACACATGCTATTTATGGACAAGAATGGTCATAAATGTCTGGAAGTTAAACTGCTAGGATAAAAGATAAATGCCAGGACTGGAGAGATGGTTTAGCAGTTCAGAGGCGAGTTTGGTTCCCAGCCATATCAGGCAGCACACAGCCACCTACAGTGTAACTCCAGCCCTGGGGCATCCAATGCCCTCCTCTGGCTACCCGAACCTACACACAGATAAACACACACCTCACCTATACACATCAAAAATAAAAAAAGATATGTTCCATTTTAATTTTTATAAATATCACTAGTTGCCTTCTATAACAAATGAATCTTTTTACATTCTAAGTACCATGGCCAACCCCTGCTCTTAAGCCTGACTGGAGTGAAATGCCACAATTTTAGATTTTTGTCCATTTAATAGGAAAAAAAAAAGTTAGCTCTGTATACTTTTCTCTATGTATAAATGATGCCTGCTATCTCACAATATAGTTGTGGGTCATACATACTTACCCATTTTCCTTTCTTTTCTGATTTTACTTTCCTTTTGGGGTAGAGACTGAACCAAGGCCTTCCATTAGCACAACACCAATGATAAAAGTTAGGCTGTAAATTTAATCTTCTGACTAAGCTGAAGAGACGGCTCAGTGGTTAAGACCACTTGCTGCTCTTGCAGAGGCTCCAAGTTCAGTTCCCAGCATCTAGCATCTATACAGTGGTTACAAATCACCTCTAAGTCTAGTTCCAGGGGCTCCAACTTATTCTTCTGACCTCCATATGCACATAGTGCATATACATTTAGACATACATACACCTATAAACTAAAATATAATAGCTGGGTGTGGTGTTACATGCTTTTAATTCCATCACT